GGCTGCTTAGAAATTAAGTGTTAACGAGCAGTTGGACAGGTGTACCTAATAAAGTGGCCGGTGAGTGTATATACGCCTGAATACCATTTTGAGTTGCTGCAATGAAATTAGGACTAGTCTGCCGCATCATTTTTTCACTGTAATTTTTGGGGTGTCTTTGAATTCGGCCCTCTGTAGGTTGATCATTTTCATTTCCATCAAATGATGTGGCATCCTTTTGTTCCTAACACATCATCCAGTCCATATCAGTTTTTATGCACCCCCGGGCGTATTGCCGCCCCCCTCAGGACAGTAGCTTGTGACATTTCATGGGCGTTATGCGTAAGATAGGTTGTCGTTGGACATAAGTCAGCGCATGCCAGCGTTTTAGGAGATTCTGGGACGTCCGGCATACGTTGGCTGAATCGCCATTGTGTGACGGGCTTTAGGCCTTTGCATTCTGAATCGGTCTAATGGAAGTATTCTCATGTGTTTGACATTTGCAGGTGATTGCTCCAGAGGAGATCATCGACCCCAGTGTTGATGAGCAGTCTGTGATGACCTACCTGTCTCAGTTCCCCAAAGCCAAATTAAAGCCTGGAGCTCCACTCAAACCCAAGCTTAACCCTAAGAAGGCCCGTGCATACGGACCAGGTAAACCGACGCTAAGCCACGGATTCTGCTTTGATGTTCAATGAATTTTGACAAAATAATGTCATGTGATCCCAACCTTGATGACTCCAAACTGTAGCCTGACCAAAACACCCACACAAAGGTTTTAGAGATGATGGGAACGCTTGGACTGCTGCTCTCACAATGAGAGGAAGTGCTTTGCAGCTGAGGTGAACAATGGCCCAAATTCTTAGCCCCCCCCCCCACCATCCCCCACCATGTGTCGACTCCCATCAACTTCCATTGATTTTTATTTTTAACCCTTTCTCTGCCCTAACCATGATGATAACCCTAACCAGCGCAGACCTCACCCTGACGCCAAATTAAACTCAATTCAAACCATAGCCCTAAACCTTACTGTTGGCTAAATAGCTTGTGAGGAACTGGAAAATGTCCTTACTTTACAACAACCGGACATCACTGTGACATCACTGTGACTTCAATCTGATGAAGAAACAGGAACACACTCTCAAACACAAGCTTTACTGATGCCATTTCCCAACTTAGTGACCCAGAAGAGGAAATACTCTGCCTAGCTGCAGAGTCGAACAACATTCTACCCTGCCTTTCTCTCCAGACTCATTGATCTGGTACAGTTTTTTTGTCTGGTTAACACAAATTAAAGAGGAAGTTGTGGATGATAACCTCGATTTGTTTTCTTCAAAATGGTCAATCTATTACTTTCCCACCCTGCCAACTCTATAAGCTAAGGTGTTGATGGCAGCAGCATAGCTGTTATTTCTCTCCAGGATGGAGTCACAGTCAAACAGACCAGATGAAGCTACTATGATGAGAAAAAACAGAGAAGGCGTTACGTTTGAGATTGAACCAACAAATACTGCAGTATGGGAGGAGAAAGATGGATTGATGAATGGGGCCTCCATGTCCTCCAGCAGTCTAAGCCTATAGCAGCATAATTATAGAGATATCTCAGGATGACCTGAGCCACTCTAACTGTAAACTTTATTAAAAAGGAAAGTTTTGAGCCTTGAATTAATAGTAGAGGATGTTTTTCCTCATGGATTACAATTGGTAGTTGGATCCACACTTTATAGAAAATTTATGGCAGAGCAGGAAGTTCAGCATCAGCAAAAAAGAAGATAAAACTCATTTAGCTCAACTCTATCATGTATTTTCCTGTTAAATTCATTTTTATAGCTTATTTAATTAAAAAATATGGAAAAATATAATTCTGAAAAAAATGTTTCTTAGACCAACAAATAAATAAGAGCAAATTGTCATTAGGAAAATGATAAAAAGTAGGAAGCTTGCTCATTATTGGCTCTAATTGTGATTTTCCATATTTCAGCTCTGTAGAAGCTGACAGTCTAGATAAAGACATAACCTCCAAAATCCGGCAGCCTATTTAATTTCAAACCAATTCAGGCAGATTGTTTAGAGACCAGCTTCGCTGTGGTACGGCCTAGCATTTGCTGTAGCGGACCTCTGTGGTACGGCCTCAGCCTTGGCTGGAGCGTACCTCTATGGTACGTCTTGCCTTGGTTGGAATGCATCTCTGTGGTATAGCCTTGACACGTTTGGGACTCCCACTGGATCCTCAGACCTTCACACAACCATCTGAGGTAGTGTTTTGTTGTGCAGGTATCGAGCCCACAGGGAACAGAGTTCTGCGTCCTGCTGTGTTCACGGTGGACACCTTCAGTGCGGGTCAGGGCCAGGTCATGGTCTACCTGGACCATCCAGACGGCACTCGAGAGGAGGTAGGGTTCTCCCTCTTCAGTGATGGGCCTTGTGGGGGTTCTAGGTCCAGTAAACATCGACTCAGTCTGATCTGTTCCCATATTTGATTGTAGCTGAAGGTGGAGCCCAACGATGGCAAGAAGACATACAGCGTCACCTACATTCCTCAGGTCATGGGAGCTCATAAGGTGAACAGTGTTAACTGGGAGCTATACTTTTGACCATTAGATCAAATGCAAATAAAGAATAATAACGATGTATGTTCTACAGGTCACAGTGCTGTTTGCGGGGCAGCAGATACCTAAAAGTCCATTTGAGGTGAACGTGGACAAGGCGCTGGGAGACGCCTCCAAAGTGACGGTCAAAGGTCCGGGAATCGAACCTGTGGGTAACATCGCCAACAAACCCACCTACTTTGACATCTACACAGCAGGTGAGGAGCTGTGACCCACTGCCCCATCTTCCACCAGTCCACGACCAGCTGGCTAAGGCTTCTTCTTCATGGTTTGTTCTCCACAGGAGCAGGAAAGGGAGATGTGACAGCCATGATCCGAGACCCACAGGGTCGCCAGAACAGCGTGGAGGTCATGATGGAGGACAAGGGTGATGGCACTTTCCGCTGCACCTACAACCCCCTTCAGGCTGGACCACACACCATCACCGTGACCTTTGGAGGAGTAGGTGTCCCCAAGAGCCCTTTTGGTGTGGACATCGGCCCTGGTGAGAGCTCTTCCTTCTTTACCGCTGCTTGTTGAAAGGTTTTTATAAAAACTGATGCCATTGAACATGGTCTATCAGCCTGCATGCCAGGAGCCTGCAGGGCGACGGGTCGGGGTCTGCAGCCTACGGGCATGAGAGTGAAGCAGGTTGGGGACTTGAAGGTGGATACGAGGAACGCTGGCAGTGGAGAACTAAAGGTCCTCATCAAAGATCCCAGTAAGCAGAGTTTAATTTCCCTCCATTAAACTTTAATAAATTAGATCTGAAAATCATCTAAAGACTTCCTTCCTGATGAGTTTTAATCACTTCAGCTGATCTGGAAACTATTTGAGATGGTGAACAGTAAAAGATTGAAGTTTCTGTTATATTACAGAGAAGTTTCTAAGCAGCCTTATTATTCTTCAATTTATCGACCAAAGTACATGAATGGATTAACCTTAGATTCATATCACAGGATTAGCTTTAACTTTGAATAACTTCTGATTTTCTCCTGGGCAGACGAAGCCAAATGCTGCCCCAGAAGAAGAGGTCCTTAAAGGAATAGTACACCCAAAACATGATTAGCCTTCATTTTCTACTCACCC